CCTGGATGGCAAAACGCTTGCTGTGCTTTCTCAAGTACACTTCTGTCTTGACCTCGTGCTTATCTCAACTCTGACAAAGCTAGTCGCTGGTCTTTTTAATGCATGGTACGCCCTAAAAATCAATCAGAATGCATTCTGTATAGTCATACCGGTCATTACTGAAAATTTAATATGTCAAACACTCCGAGTACAATAGCACAGTATAATGATCACAGAAAACAACCAGCCAGATCCAGTTCAGGTGTCTCTCTAACAGATTATATGCCTACATGCTTTTGCTTGCTTGGGAATGTAAAAGTTTGGAAAGATCATCATTCCAAAACAACTCTTCAGTACACTCTTGTTAGACAAAAAGAGAAACCGAGAGCAGTAGGAACCTCTCTTTTCCTTCGCTCAAAAACGCTTTATAAAATTAACTTTAGAGGATTAATAGGCAGCATCAAAATATTTTGTCCCTGGATTTCTGGGTATTGCTTCTGAATGCGGTTTATAACTTTCAAACTCAGATTAGACTGTTTCAGAAAATAAGGAACTGCATCTGTCAGTTGACTCAAACTTATTGGTAGAATAAATAACAATTTTTTCCATTTGGGCACTCATCATTCACATATAAAATGAGCAAATGTAATGTCTGCGCATACCAGATCATTTGGATAATTAACCGAATAGACACCAAAACAGGACAGTGGATTTGTTCAGGAAGTTCTTACAAGCCAGAATAGATTGGAACTATTAAACCTTGGCATAAATCCAAGCTAAGGCTCTGAAAACTACTTACATAAATACAGGCTTAGTTTTTAATGGAAACTGCTTCTTCTTCCTTTTACCAGTAAGCTATGGGGCAGACTTACCACTGGTTGTTCCCAGAAACCAGAGCACAAGAAAAGGAGTCACTTGTAAAACGTTACTGGAAACCAAGTGGCTTTAGCAAATGAATAGGTTTTCAAGTAAATCAGGTAATACACCATGTTGTAAAATATCTGTTTATACAAAAGGCATCCAGCACTTTTTTTTTTATATGGGAAAAACAGTTTTTTATAATAGCCATGATTTAGCAATATTGCTTCTCAAGAGATATCGTGATAAATTACTGTTTTCCCCACCCACTAGAAAGCGCTGTTCTCTTTAGCAGGCAATTTGAGTTTGAATGCTTACAAATAACAAAGGAACTTCTGTAGCAAAGATGCCATTATGAAAAAGGAATATACAGCCTGAGGGGGGGGTAGAGGGTGGGGAGCCTTCTTCCAGACATCAAGCAAATTATCCCTAAAATTACATTATCACAAATTTATAATTTCTTTTTTCATCAATTTCAACTATGTTAAGAATTGAAAGATCTATTTTAAGATTTTATAGATACCCAGTTAACAAACTGTCAATAATTTGTCCCTGCATATTGCAGGAGGGTTGGACTAGATGACCTTTAAATGTCCCTTCCAACCCAACCCATTCTATGATTCTATAAGGAACAGAAGGGTACCCGGGCCACATATAAAAAAACAATAAAAAAAAATGATATAAGCAAACAAAATTTTTGGAGCAAGTTGCTACTAAACTGCACTACATGTCATTACTTCTGTGTATTGGGAACGTGGCCATTTCTATTTAAAAACAATCAGCAACTGATTTTTCTGTCTGCAAGGTAGATCTGGACAAGCAGAATGAAAAGTGGGGCCCCTTTTTTATCTTGTTTCATCAGGAAATTCGAAAATTTGAACAATACAAGCAATGGAATTTAAAAATAAATGAAGCATATTGTATGACAGGAGGGCGTGTCTTTAAAGAGACTTGTTTTATCTGGGTAAGAGAACTGTACAAATTTCACACAAGTCAGTCACTGGTGTCTAAACCCATATAAAATGAAACACAAAATGCTAGTTTAACAAAGACCAAGGAAAGACCCTTAGGAGCCTGAGATCATTGCTTTGGAATCAAAGCACAGATAAAACTACCTATAAAATTACCAGTTTGGAAGGCTTGCCTAATGGGATAGCAGTAAGATCTCATCAAGAATCCAGTCGTATTGCTGTCAGGTGCCCAAAGCCTGAGTAGAAGGCCAATACATTTTATTCTAAAAAATATGAACAGTGGGAGTAAGTAAAGGTTCAACTTAGAAAAGTGGGTCTAAGCAACAAGGTAAAAAAAACTTTCCCAAGATGGGGAGAATTCTTCTAAAGCTTAAAAGCGTGCATCCAACATTTATTGCTCTCTTCATGTACTTTTATACTTATGCATCATAACACTTAATATAATCTTTACAGTGACTATCCCATATTATTCCACGCTGATGCCACACTGTCATAGGCAGTTTCTGTGGGCTCTGAAAGCGAGACAGAGGTTGTTACAATTCCTGAATATTGTCTGTACAAAATATGGAGTCAACCCCAAAAGACCAGATCCTGTCTAGAAGTAATACACTGTATGCACGAACACAGAAGCTGTAAGGTGCATGGTGCAATGCATGCAGAACTAAATGCGTCTGCTCTCCCTGCAAAATTCCCAGCTAAACAGAGTGAGCAATGTTCAAGCAAAACTGTACCACTCAAATACATTCAGCTTGCTCCCGCTCCCCATCCCAATCCTCCCCCCCCCCAAGTTAATTTTCAGCTGTACCAAACCATTTGCCAGACTTGCAGATTCTGGTAAACAGGTTTCTCCAGGGACAAATAAGAGCACTTGGAAAGTTACAGCATTCTTCTTTCCAGTTTGCATTGAAAACTGCCAATATTTACATATGCAACAGCTGATTCAATCATTTTTTACAACACTGAAAGCATTCAGTGAAGAAAAAAAAACTGAAGATATTCAGAACCTAAAATAGCATGTTTAAGTATTTCATTCTTTTCTTGGAGATTTTTCTATTGACTCCAGTTAATCTTTTACGGGCTTGTGAATTTAGAGATTTTTCTTTGTATAGAAGAAGTTGATTGAATTAATGGGCCCTGCCTGCAAGTTGTTCCAAGCTTTATTTACAACACCTGGAATTTTGGAAAGTTCTTTTAATTATTTCTTTGTGAATATATTTTATATGCACATATATATAAAAACTTACTGGATCGTGCTAACAATGTCTCTTTTAGAGCCAAATTTACCCTTTTTTTGGATGACACTCTTCTCCATTCACTTTATTTATAACTGTGCTTAATCATCAAGGAAATTCTTAGCACATGTTTAGCATGCAAAGCAGAATATTTCTGGGAACAGTAAAGACAGAAGTAATAAAGAATTATGCGAACAGCTAAGGGTAAAAAGTTGATAACTTGGGAATATAATTTGCCTGCTCTCTCACTGTGAAAGGGGAATTCTCAAACCCTAGCGAAGACGGTGCTGCTTCAAAGCTGGTAAGCTCCAGGTCAGAACGGACACCCATATGGACACGCCTGCAACACCTACTGGAGTCCCACAACTGCTTTGTTGCAAGAGAAGTCAATCAATAATGCAGGCACATAACTTTTGATGTGTAATGCTACTGGCATTTCTTTCACCAAGTCAGACTCCAAAATCAGCCACAAAGCCACACTTCTAAATCACTATCATCTACATAAACAGATTTGACTATATGTGGCTTTTAATAGTACTTTTTACTTATTTTTACAGAACTTCAGCATTTACAACCTTCTGTCATTCTACTTTTTGTCTTACTAGACCCAAGCCATTTAATCCAACACCAGAAATCCAACCTCAAAGCAAATACGCTTACCTGAAAATCAAACCCACAACACATCTTGGGAACTGAGGGAGCGGGGACAGTGGGTTGAAGTTATTTTCATTTGTTTTGTTTGGTTTTTTTTTTAATCTCTGACGATCAGGTGTGAGCTCAAATCTAGGATTTTGGCTTGGTCTCTTCTCTTTAAAAAGTACCAGTTGCTACATGAGCTCAGTGTCAGAACACAACTCACTACAGCACTTCCAGGACCTCTGATTTCCAGTACACCAGATCAGCTTACACCAAGACCAGGATGTAGCTTCACATTCATCTTTAGCCCTGGCACAGCAACAGTGATACCGGCTGCAACAAATTAAAGTCTAATCAGTTGCTTCCCACCTGAATTGCAGATCCTTGTTCGGCTGCATTGCCCACCAGAGTCTTTCAGAGGGTTTCAAGCAATAAGGCATTCTACTAACTCTGCCTCCATCTTCTGCAGAGCCACAGAATTTGAATACACACTAAAACCAAGCTACCAACAATTCATAAATGTAAGACTGACTTTGATTCTGGTGTCCTACACAAAACCTGCGTCTACCCAAACGGTTTACGTGATCCACATGCAATCAATGTGTAATGTGGGAAATAAGTAAGAGTATTGTTGCTCTGGTTTTAAGCTGAAAATTCCTGCAAGGTTTATAAATTTCTCCTTTTTAGAACAAAGGTGAAAGAGCATGGAATGCACCCTTCCTGATTGCTTCAGTTTTTTACCTGTTCCCTGAACTTTTTTGCTCCGTAGGTATGCAAAAGGAATTTGAGAACTTGCCCAAGGCGCATTTTAAGTTCTAAGGATTGGCAAAAAAAGGAAATTGAACACTGATCCACCTTTAATGTTGAAAACCAGAGAAGAATCCTTTTTCATTGCAGTGAAAACGTGTTAACATTTCAAAATTATAGCCCTAAATTGTTAAACTACCAAAAAGCTCTCTCTTTACAAATATTAGAAAGTTTACAAATTCTCTCAAAATTACCAGTGCTGCACATAATCACCTACTTAGCAATATTTAAGTACTCTAATCTCTTTTTTGAGTGTGTGTGTGTGTGAGAGAGAAAAAAGTAATCACTGAATGTTATTATCCATAGATTTATTTGCTTTCCCAGTAGACTACCTTTAAATCCTGTTTAAGATGAGTTAAAATCTGTAGACTTGACAGGTATGGTTTTCTCACCTAGTGTTTGAAAGGCACAGTGTTCTCTGTAAAGTGCCAACGCAGCAGTAACTTCTACAGAGAAGGGCTTGCAGCAAAAATCACCGCCTCGCAGCAGTTCATCCCAGTAAAAGTTTAGTTCATACCTCTGTGATTGGTGAGGTCTCTGGATCCTGAAGGCAGGGGTGTATAGAGCATCTCTGGAGAGGTGGAGGAAGCATCACTGGAGGCCTGTGCGGTAAAATAAATAGTATCAGTACTCTGAGGGAAAGTCAATGATGATGCAGAGGATGCACCTGCAAGATGAGGGCTAGGATGAGGTTACAGGTGCACAGAGTCACCAGCCGTGGAGGATTCATTTGATGTTGTTAAGGTTGCCTGCAGTCCTTCCAGGTAGCTGCACTCGCAAGAGTTTACACAATGATATGAGGTATCATTATTAAAAGAATATTTTCATATGGCCCACAGCTTCAGATAATTTCTATCTTTACCAGGAAATCTTTAGGCAATATTAAAAATGTTCCTCTTGTTGAAACAGATGAATATCTTCCTGAAGAAAGTTACAAGTGAGTCCACGTGTAAGAAAGGAGGCAGAAAATAGAAAGCTCGGATAAGGTACCATACTTTTCAAAACTAAGCAAAAACCTGATCCCGCCATTCCACTGTCCCTAAATGAAGGGATCTCTTAAACATTGTAACGCCTATAATGCATAAAAGTGGGGAAGTATATTGAATTGTTAATAACAAACCCTTGACACCCACACAAGAAGTTTTACACATTTAAAGAAGTAAGTACCAAGCAGACTTTCTCAGAATCCTTCAAAAACAAAATGTTAAGGGAGAAGAGAAGAAACCCAAATCTTTCCCCATAACAGAAATCTAAAGATCCTGTGATTCCAATTTAAAAAGATTAGACTGTGGAGCTACAGTTTGCAATAAACTAATATTCATCCAATTGTGAGTGTCATCGGAAGGAAAGAGCAATATGCAGCCAAGACAAGCCACATTTACCATCTTGCCTTGCAGTTACAGAGCAGCAGCGCTGCATTCTTAGGAGGAGATATGAAAAGATTGTGTCAGTGTAGATGAATCATCACAGCTTTTAAAATTCAGTTTAAGTTAGATGAATTGATACCATAGTAGTGATGCGTCCAGTTTCAGGTACAGAGCGTGCTCTAGAGTGTTTACAATCTACCCATTGCAACGGACATAAAAAGATGATGGGTTTTAACAGAAGACACCAAGGACGGTGTTCAATAAAAGTTACACGATAATTTCTAAAAGAAAAGATAAGGCAAATATAGAGAAAAAATATAAAAGCTAAACTATTTCTAGAATCTCATGATAATTTACTAAAGGCAGTCTTGAGAAAATAATTGCTATCTTCTGTGCAGGTTGCTCCCTAATGATGTGTTGGCTTATAAGCTGCAAAAGTCAATCAAAGGAATCCACATCAATCTTACTTCTTATTTTGTAATTCATCATGTCCTCAAAATTGATGTATTTTTTAATTGAGATGAATTCAAAACCAGATTTACAATGTCTCGTTAAGATAGAAGTGTAAAATAGGGCTATAATGTTTTGGAGAAGAAAAAGCTTAAATACTAATTCAAATCTTAATTACCAGACTAAACCCAAGAACAACAATCAGCAATCCACCATAATGAAAATTAATCATGGTAATGGTTTGTTAAAGGCTGAAACTTAGACATCTTCTTTGTCGTAGCTGCTGGACTCCTAGACGACAGTGTGTTAAAAAGTTCAGCGGTTGGTGACTGAGCAGATCAGCATACTCAGCTTCTGCTTTTGGAGACCAGCTGTCAATTTCCATGTCAGACCACAGTTATAGTCCCGTTTTTGTCCCTACCAAAAGTCAGGTCATAACATGAAGACGCACCACGCATCAAAACAGACATCTTAATAGAGACAGGTTTGCCTACACCTACTGTCAGATATTTATTACTTATCAGTTATGAATAAAAACCTCGAAAATCCTGCCTCCGCCGACCCACCAGCGATAACACACCCTTTTCAGGATACCTCCTTCTCGGAGGGATAATGCTATAGACACAACTCTCACCTTCAGCTAGGGTGAATAATACCTCGATTTTAGTCAAATGTAAACTTGCAGCTACCTCTACCCTGGACAATGAAGTACTGGAAAGCTTCCCTCCAATGACCGATATGAGCTGAGGGCACATACCATCTCAGAGGACAAGAGAGGTGCCCCTAACGCCGAGCAACGTGACATCTGAAATGCATTCCAAGCAGAGGCATCTGTTCACAACGATCTGTTTTCTTTGGACCAAGTTGTTCTGGGTAAGGCAAGCAGAAAAATGTCACTAACTATTTAACATACGACTTCATCCCTGTAAATCACTCCAAAAGCTGCAGGAATAAGTGGTCTCGTACTCTACACTCTAGATGCTATCTGCCTATTCAAGTGTACTTATTTGGGACTCTGATAATAGTGAAGGTTTCTCTTTGGTACTTTTAATCTCAATTTAGACTGTTGACAGCTTGATGATAGCTTTTCCTAAAATTACTGGAAGAGACTTTGCCTTTTCAGCAATATACCACTGAGCAAGCAAAATTCAAGAGCTTCTAAAAAGGATATTGGAGTGAAGGGGCAATTTAGCTTTATTTCTAATTTTAGGAAAAGCAAGAACAGGAGGCTTGCTTTATTGGTGTTTCGCTATTATTTTATGTACAGTATATAATTCCCTGTCAAATATAGAAGAGTTTTCATTACCTTTGAGCTAAGCATTCCGTTGCAGCAACTTTAATTCTACGGAATATCATCCAGGGTTAGGATTGTTTTGCACAAACACTGGCTGGAGGTCTGAATAGTGTTTCTGAGTAAGCGTGTGCACCAGCAGAAAGGCAACTATTTGTTTTCCCTACCACAGGCTGACGTTTGGCCCTAAGCTATTTTCTGAAGAGCTTTGTATAGAATATATTACTCTTCATATTCACAAGCATATTTTGACAGTGACAGCATTGATGTGTGACAGTGCTGTCTTCAAGTATTGGTGACATACGCGTCAGAAGTTCTTGTTGCAGTGGGAAGTAACTACAAATACAGACAGCTTTCAGGAAAGCTGGTTAAAATGGGCGGTAGCTTCAGTTTTATACCAACAGATCACCAAATAGCTCAGTGAAGAAATTCTAACAGAATTATTGCAGGAGAAGCTTGTAAAGCAAGCGTTAAGGCCATCACAAGTTTTGCAGTATATCACAGTGCAAGGCATAAAAGTTACAAGGCAAATAAAGTTAGACTACTCACAGCCTAAGTTATGCACACAACCAAACATCTACTAAATTGAGGTATCTCTGTCTTCACATTAACCTGCAAGTTTTGACTGAGGTAAGAATTGTTGTACTTGATATTAAATAAACAGGCTGTAAAAGAGCACCAGATTTTCAAACTACATTCATCAAAATTACAGATACTGTAGAAGCTGCCGTAGGGAAAAAAACAACAACCAAACAAATAAAAAACCCTCAATGAGTGAAAAAAAACCCCAATGTATTGGGTTTGCATGGCAAGGGTTTGGTACCAGGGGAGCTACAGGGGTGACCTGTAAACAGCCAAAACCCCAAAACCTAAATGTTGAGTAATTTTAATTAAAGCAATGGTTATTGTTTAGGAAATTTTACTTTCTCTTGAGGCTATATTGGCTATAATGGAGTAGCACTAATGTCCTTTGATAGTTGATACCTTTCTATTTGTGTCACGTAGCTTGTATTTGTATCCTGGTATTTCTCTTCTTTTAAGAGAAGAATATTTACCCTTCCTTGTGAGGCATGCCACAAATTTGTTACACACCAACACACATCAGTAACTGTAGTAGCAATTAAGGTACTATACCTGACAAATTTTACAATCCAGGAAGAAGAGTAGCATGTTAGCATGTTCCTAACATGGGTTCAACAGATATACAATGTACTTCTGGAAAGATATGGTAAGTAAAATTGTTTCAATACACACATACATACAAAGAAACATTTCCTTAGCTAAATGCATTTAATTCCAAAGTATTTCCAGAGGACTTCACAGAGAGAAATCTTAGTTTGATCAAGACGTCATCCAAAAGAGAGGTGGTAGAGCGCAGAATGAGATGTCGTAGCAAAAACCAAAATAATTCAGAAGATATTATTTAGTATGGAGCTCAAGACATAGACGAAGGATTCTGTTGTATCCACAACCTTACAAAAAATTAATACGCTCGGGATTTCTCCTTTGCAACCCGTTTCTTGTCTAGTATGGGAATATCTCAAATTTCCAGCATTTGAGTGTGACTCATTTCTTTTCAGGGAACTGATGAAGAGGCCAGTTTCTTGGGGACAGCATGATACTCTTTCTCCAAGCCTGACCCATAATTATCAAGAATTCTTGTGTTCTGTGATACTGTTGTTTATTTTCATTCATCACAGTTTTAACACTTGTCAAAGTCCTCTACTAAGGTCACAGAGAAATGACCTCAGCAATTTGAAAGCACGTTGCTTCTCATTTGCTGATTTATTTTCAAATAAAAATGGAAAAAAATCTTGTGACATTGCAGTGAGAAGCCCAATGGTACCTATCACATTAACAGATGCAAAACTTGGATTTAGTAAGAAGGCATGATTTATTTCAAAAGATTTTTAATATACCAACAGGGAAACTACAATTAAGAATGAAGGAAATCACCGTGTTATCCTTTTTTTAAACTGAGAAAAACAGTTCTCCAGAAAGGTACATGATTAATGGGACAAACTGTGGTACAGTTCCAGCTTAAAGGATCAACTTGTACTCACTTTTCAAAAACTTCTCCTTTTATATGAACAAACCCTAATATTTTCCTGATAAGCTTATTCTGTCTGAAATGCACTCCATGCTTAAAATTAATCATCCTTTAACAGATACATGGCTTACAATTTTAAGCAACGCCTGTATAAATATCTACTTAAGCTAAAGACTCATTTTGGATCTCTTGGGCACACATATCTTCCTCAAGAGACATAATGGCAACAGCCTTCAATAATTCATACATATTTTGAAAACTTGCCTGAATATCTCTATACCAATACATCAACAATGTGTCGATTCAACCCCTTTGTAACACTGACGGCTGCAACTCACATGTCTTAACCCATGAGTATATTGGACCTTTGCGATTTGTTCACATTTGTGATAAAATGTACAGAAACTTTCCATGGAACTCCTCCGCAAGATTTTTTTCCCAAAA